TTGCAGCAAATTGCAGAAAATTGCAGCATTTTGCAAGCTGGTCGCGCATAGGGCAAGTGCGCGAGGGACTCGGATCGGCAAAACAAAAAGCCGAGCAACACGAGTAGAGCAGAAAAAGGATCGATAAATGAACACAATCAATACAATCAATCAATCATCCCATACATCATATCCAAACCCATCATTCATCTTAGGAAGCCTAGAAACAGTGCTTCAATCTAACAAACATCCTAGGAACTTACTAGCGCTATATAAATAATGTATTAATTAACTATTTAAACAACTTTTATATTACTTATCTAAATAACAGTTTTATTTACTTTAAAAATAAAGTAACTTATATTCTCTATGTTAAAAAGCTTTTAAAGAGGCTATAGTAAGCAGAATTATAAGTAAAGATTAAAAAAAGTAAATTTTATGTTACTTAAATAAAGTATCTTAGCTATATACTTTTAAATAAAGGACTAGAGGTTAACTTATAAAAAGTAAAAGTGCTACGCAACTAGTAAGCGCTTACTACTATAATAAGTGTAAAAATCTTTTTAGGCTTTACTAGATTTTATTAATAATTTATTTTAAAAATTTTTTATATAGTAAAACTAATTATTACACTTTAAAGTTCTACTACTTTTTTTATATAGACTTTAAAGTGTAATAAGGCTTTTAAAAAGCTAAAGTCTAAGCTACTAAAAATACCTACACTTTACTATTTTAACTTTGCTTTATAAACTAAAATTAAAACTAACACTTTTAATAAAGTAGTAGTAGAAGTCCTATCTTAGAAACATGCTAATAAAAATTAGTGCTCTATTTTATTCTACAGTAAGGTCCTATCTAGTTTAGAGCTAAACTAAGAAATATATAATAAAAAGCTAAGCTTATATTAGTAATAATAAGCACCCTAATATATACTAATTATTAGTTATTAAAGTACTTTATAATAATAAAAGTGCTAAATGCTAATTAGGTCTATTAAGCTAAGAAGTTAGCTTAGTATTACTTCTAAATTAAGTACACCCCTAGTAAAAACAACACTAGGGCAGACATTCTTAGCTGTTATAAATAAAATATAGAAAATTTAAAAGCAGCTTAAACTAATAACTAGTTAAGAGTTTTTTTTAGACTACACTAACTTTACCTCTAAATTAATAAGAAATTAGCTTAGTACTATATTACTTAAACAACAACTTAAGCAACTTTACTAAATATTATAAAAAAACTAAACTAGGTTATGTTTTTAGATTTTTTAAAATTAATTAATATATTACTTTAAAAAAATTAAGCTTTTTTTACATAAAAGTAAAAACTCTTACTCTACTATTATTAGATAGAAAATAGACTACTTTTTTATGCTAACTATTTATGTGTTCTAGTAGACTTGCTGCTGTGTACCTAACTTATTTAAAAAGTCTATAATTAAGTATCTTTAGCACACTCTAGTGCTACTAAGACCTATTAGTTACTGTCCTAAAAGTACTACTAGAAAAGTATAAAGGCTACTTGTAAATAATATGTATAGAATTACCTCTTTTATTATAAAGCTTATCTAAAATAGACTTAAACCTTAGGGTTTATTTACCCTCTTTTAATCTCTAATTAACTAATGCAGCATCTGTGTATTAATTTTAAGAATTTTTTTAAAAACAAGTCTAGTTATAACTAGATTATAGTTATAATTAATTATATGTCTAAATAAGCTATTTCTATTCCCTACTATAAAATAATTAATGCCTAAGAAATAGCTGCCTTATTTGTTTAATAGGTGTACTATTTTAGCTATACACCTAAAACTATTATCTTTAACTAAAAACCTTAGTTTATATCTAGTTTCTAGTCTAAATTCTATTAAATTTTAGGTGTAAAAGTTAAGCTTTTTACTACCTATTATAAGAAAATAGATAGCTAAATAGAGATTATAAATAAGTATATTAATTAAAGACTAAGGCCTTTTATAGTTTTTTACTAAGATAACTAAAGTTCCTCTACTACCTTTAATTAATTAGGCTTAGATAACCTTACTTTATGCAATATTTAAAATGTCTTTATATTAAGTCCTATATAGCTTTAAACTATGTTAAAGCTAGGACGTGAAACATTCTACAGAACCTATTATAGTTAGCTACACACCTAAAACTATTATCTCTAACTAGAGACCTTAGTTTATATCTAGTTTCTAGTTAAAATTTAATTAAATTTTAGGCATAAAAGTTAAGCTTTCTACTACTTATTATAAAAAAATAAATAGCTAAATAAAGATTATA